GCATTGGAGGCGTTGCCAGGGATGAATGCTATGGTGAGAGCCCCAGTTCCAGTTGAGGTTGCAGCTCCCGTAGCAAGATAGCGAGTGGTTGGGCTCAGGTCCCGTACTGTGTGCTGTGAAGAACTCTGTGACGGTGCTCCATAGCTGTAGCCGTAGCCGCGGCGCATCACATCGCGGTGCATCGTATCGTACGCTGGCCGGGGCTTTTCTGGACGTCAGATGCCCGTGACCAGGGGTCAGTAGATGGCACGAATCCTGTACTCCCAAGTACTTAGCCCATGTCCGGGTGTAATCCATGTCCATGTCCTGGCATCGCCTCGTGTCAACCAGGCGCTGACTTCTTTGAGCGAGATTTGACCCTGAGTGTTGCCATTCCAAGTGAGAGTCGGTAGTTCTTTGCGCGGTTGTCTGAACTTTGGGGGTGACAATGGGCTCTCGCCCTTGATGAAACAGGACATAGTGGACAGACGATCGAATCGCATGCAATGACGAGCTTTGATGACGAGGGTTGAGAACGAGACTCAGACCGGAGCCAGGCCCGAACCCGACTGCATTTGAGGTTGTTGTAAGGTTTCCCCTCTCCTTCTAATTAAAGCCACTTCGGTCCAAGTTTTCACCGCGAGCCGGTATGTTACCAAGCTGAAAACAGTGAAAGGAAGCATTCACATGGAAGGGGAAGATGAGGATAAAGAGAGGGAAGGGTAGAAGAAGGTAGTCAATCTCACAGTCCAATGTCAGGTGCGATGAACACCCAGAGCTCCTTCCCTTACTCTGTGTGTGGTCTGCCTAAACTTACTTTTATTACACTACTTCCACAAAGAAGCACCACCCATGATCCCCCCACCACTCTTTCCTGAAGAGGAAAAAAAAAAAAAAAAAAAACTGGATGGTGCCCAACACTGGGAGGATACAGCGGCCACGTGCTGTAACCCGCCTCTTGAAGCCCTGTAGGGTAAAAAGCGCCCCAAAACATCTAGCCGATTACCGTAGTAGAGCTACCCATAGCTTCCCTCCAGTCCAGTGCTCTACAACAGACCATAGCAAAAAATACCAAACCACCTTCCCAGTACAAACAGTGCACATTATACAGTGGATGAAGTGACCGTTTTCTGGTTCTATCCTGCCTTGTTTTCAATCGTGCCACTATGTAGTATTGCACTGATGGCTTGGGGCAAGTGTGAAAAATAAAGAAAAGCGATTTGACGGGGTTATATGTATTAGGTAAGCTTGATCCATCTCTGGGTTTGGTGTGTGCCTTACCTCACTCTGTACATCTGTGCCCAGCGTTCCTTCCACTCACTTGCTTTCCTGTTGTTGTGTTTTATTTCACTTTCCAGCTTATTCTGTTTTGTTCCCATTCTCCAGCTCCGCCTTCCACCGCCGCCCGCCATCCATTTCCTCTCCTATCACATCCATTTCTTTACCCTTTCGTTCCTTCAGGGGTGTCGGAGTAAATGGAGAGAAAATCCATCCGACCTACACAGAACCCATTACCAACCCACCCATCAACCACATCCCAACCACCACCCCCCCGTACGTCATATCTTGCCCATGTCTTCAACTCCTTCTCGTTCCTAGCCCAATGTGGCTGGCGGCCTTTGACCGAGCTTCTATTTGTGCTCGGACATGCTGCAAAGTGCCCCGGCTCACCCCGTCATCTCGTGCAGCCGAGCTTCGTCTGTCATATTTTCACTCCGACAATCTGGTTGACAGAATTTGCCTTGTGACAGTTCACAATCCACCCGCAGCCGCTCCGCCTGGTCAAGGCTTCAAAGAGCCCTCTCGCCAGCAAGCCAGCTCTCAACTGGTCGCACCGCGCATCGCTATTGCTTACCTGCTGCTCGCTTTATGCACCCCCTAAACCTGGCTATCTGTATCGGGCTTAACCGCTGGACGGACTGCATATGTCACAGCCTTTACCGTCCGCCGAGACCACTGGCAGAAGCACAAAGATACATCCCATCAGTGTCAGGCTACACATTCTCTACCCTCCTCCTTCTCCACGATACACTAGCCTCGAGGCAGAGAGAAGACTAGGTGCCCTCCCCTGCCACATCATTCTCGATTCCGGGTCCACACCATAATACTGCCCCCGCCACTGGAGCAACAGATCGGGTTCCGGCTCCTAGAGGCATCTCGGCTGGCCTACACCGTCTCAAACGGCGAAACCCATCAGCATATTGAAGCCAAGCCATAATTTTCTCTCGTGCGACCCGCTCGAAAATCGATATTTACTGGTCTTACCAACGGTATTTCCGCCGGGGCGGCTATATTCGCGTTTGTACCACCTTGAACGATACGGCCTGCTTCCTAGGTCGTGTATTCTTGCCTCACCGAAGCAACACGTCAGAAAATGCAATAGCAACGCAAACCGCCTGCGGCAGGCTGTTTAACTGACTTTGCATTACAGACCAATGGATGCTTCAGCCTCTTCCCGTCATACTTCGCCTTCAGGGTTTTCTCGTCGTAACCTGAACCGGCGCCTCTCGTATCGACCCAGACAAAGAGACCGGCTTGGGTCCAGCTGCCCCATCTACTTGCCGCTGGATCATCATGGATGGTCACCGCCGACCAGCTAGCCACTTCACCGGTCTTCCAACGCCCCCGCCATGGAAACTGAGCCCTGGGAACCAACGGTGTCGATACAAATCAGGGGTCCTTCCTCATGGGCAGTTAGCGCATCATCTTGCCCCATCTCGGTGCATCCGCGATCAATGGGGATGTAAGAACCGTCCTTCGCCGTCCAGTCAGCCAGCGGTTCCTCCACCCAAGGCTCCTCTCCCAGTCGATTGGAATACTGAATCGTATCATCTTCTCTCCCTCCAATAAGGAAGCCATCGAGAACAGGGTCATGTGCGGCAGGATGGCAGGGCAAGCACGCTAGATCGATGCGCACCTGCTACAACAGCTCCTTATTCGCATCCAACGAACAGTTATTCGTCGTCCCAAGGAGCACCCACCTGCACCTTTGCCGGATCAAATTCTGGGTCCGCTAAACCATTAGCAGATCTCTTACCGGTTGGCGTACATTAACCGCATCGGAGGACATTTGGCTATCTCGATACGTGCGGCTAACATGCCAACTCTTCTTGTCAGTTTACAGCACGTCATCGGTTGTCACCACGAGCCGGAATTCCTGTCAGCGCATAACCGACACGGAACGCCTTGGGCCAAATTGAATCACCACCCATCCCTCTGTTTCATTACGACGCTTGGATGGACAGATTCCACCTCAACCAGTAAATGAACATTCGTTCTCCATTCCGCACCCACTGCAGCCAATACCGACGACCCCTGTCTCTGTAATTTGCTCGCACAGCTTTCGGACGGGGTGTCTGCACATCTGTCGTACCAGCGTCGATCGCTACCGGTCTTGTCCCTACTCTCTGATGTTTCGGCCCCACAAACTCAAATGCACCCAAGGAAAAAGTTGCAAGATCTACAGGTCTCATCTCAAGCCTCTCAAGCCTCTGTCTCTATTGATGAGCAGCGGGCTGGCTGACCTCAAGCTCGGTGTGCCATTGGGGCTCCATTATGTCCGCTGAACTTCACACCTCAAACTTTATGTCTGAGCGCTGATGCCCAACGAACCACGGTGTCGAAACCCAAATGACGAAGCAGTGCAGATTTTATATTACTTTTGTTCCATCAGATTTCGAACACTGAAATGTGAGCCAATTTTGGCCCGGTACTGTATCTGTATCTTGATAGGCATCTCACATCCCGCATCCCGCAAAGCTTAGGTTGTCTTGGGCAGCACTTTAAAAACAGTGAAACATTTCGCGACTGGCGCGTGACATGCGCTACAACACACCTTACCCTCAATGCCATCAAGCCTCATTCGCCCTTATCCGAGGATTGGCGACAATTGCGAATTGGCGGTCCCTCTCCCCACGGCGGGCAACGTCACACCAAAGAACCCCAATCAACCAGCGGTCGTCAATGTGGTCGCCAAGTCGAGGCCGTCGCATTGTTTCGAACAGCTCCCCCCCTCGTCATAGTTGCAAGAAGAGATGTTGAGATGGAACCCATGAAGTTCAACGCTCCCTTTTTGCCTTCTTGAGACTAGGAGTTTTGCCCCTAGCGGAACGCTCCACGGACCAGCATTAATGCGGCAATCTGACCGTAGGTCATCATTTCGTAATCCGATCCTGCTACATGCCTATTGAGGCGGACTTTCTTAGCGGATCCTTAAGGGGCCTGAGAAAAACCACCCGCACTGCGCCATAACTTATTTTTGACGTGAAGCGTCAACGCCTGGTCATGAAGACCCCAGTGAGTCGGAATATTGTTGTCATAACACTGGCTTGACGTCTTCTCAACAAGCTCCGGGCCAGGTCATCGCGCCTAGGTGAGATTAGGTATCTTGCTCGCAATAGAGAGTGAATTTAGGAGGACTTCCCCCATGGTGCCTCTGAGAGGGTAATCACCCCGTTTGCAGTACGAACGGAGATGGCATATGCACCATTGGAATTTTGTTCGTAGAGGCCTTTGTGACACGCTTGGACGCCAAATTGCCGTCTTCAATGTTACCATCTTCGACTCGCGATACCAAGATTGCTCTTGCCTATCAAAACTTCGAGCCTGGCCTTCCTGTGGAGCATGTTGATTCCGGGATGCGTCAGGTACCATTCCGAAGGCTGGGCAATACAAAGATGGCCACGCGAGAATAGACATGGATGTGCCCCAGCCGGCAGCTGTCTCACGAAGGACGCAAACCCTAATGTAAGAAGGGTATTGCCATACGTATGGTAGTTGTGCATGACATCGGAGCATTGTACTCAACGCTCACATCAGTAAAGGAAAATCCCTCTGGGCTCCTTGTTTGTGTACGTTTATTGCTCCCTTACACCGTGCTTTGGTTTGGACGAAAGCCAGCCTACAAGAGCAATGTGCTAATTTAGATTACGGGACGGTTTCTAACTGGGTATGCCCGGTTGACAACTTGTGATCGGTGCGCAGAGCACAAAGGATCTGAGCTATAAAAGCTCATCCTGGCCATTTATGTAACGTCCTTAACTGCGTTTATAAACCCAGGAACACTCAACAACGCAACGTGCATGGCCTGCAAAGCTTGGTTTTCGTCCAACATTTCAAGAAAACTGATTAGTGAACACGGCTGTCGATTAGGCTAGTCAGTGCATGTTGTCAAAATTGTAAACCATTTCAAAGCAGATCGAGGCCGATGCGCTCCTTCTTGCGCGACTCGCTGAGCTGCTAATGCGTTGTGCATAAACGCCGTCACTCATCTCACCGTCACACTTAAGCTACGTGGACAGGGGCAGCTACAACGGTCGCTTGCTTTATCAAAGCTTGTTCATTTGCTACGCCGACGCGGGAGTAGGTATCACAAAAATGGCAGATATGGTTTACCCTCCGAATATCAACATCAACAAGGGGCGGCCAGGGCTAAATCAGATTTGGAGCTGGAGCCGTCAGTGATCGCCAAATGTGCTGC